TTTTTTTTTTACGTTTATTTATTTATTTTGAGAGAGAGAGAGCACACATGCACAGGCAGAGAGAGACAGAGAGAGAGAATCACAAGCAGGCTCTGTGCTGTTAGCACAGATGTGGGCCCAATCCCACGAACCATCAAATCATGACCTGAGCCAAAATCAAAAGTCAGATGCTTATCTTTTTTTTGTCTCATCTCCATCATATTCTATATGCCTGGCACCCTCCTCTCATTCCAAGGTACTTTATTTATACACCATAGGACTATATGATCAACCAGGATGTTCATAGTGTAAAAAAAGCATATGCAATATGCTTACCCTTTTTTCAAATACAAACCACAAAGTGTAAACTCAACAATTTTTTTTTTGAAGACAAGAAGTACATAAGTCCAAGTGTTAGAGTAAAGGTTGAGAATCATTGCCTATATAGACCATATACCTCTTGACTAAACATAACCTCCCTTGTAAATTAATAAATTAGCATCCTAGTTTTCCATACCAATTTTGTATGAATTCCACTAAGAACACGTTTCAGAAGGCAGTTAAACAGAATAGGTTCTAATGACAGTCAAATTGGGGTTCCAACACTTACTAGTGAAGGAAGCAGTCTTAGAGCAATTAGGAAAGAAAAAGAAATAAGACATCCAAATTGGAAAGGAAGAAGTAAAAATGTCACTCTTTGCAGATGACATATGAAGACTCCATCAAAAAACTGTTAGAATATGGGGTACCAGGGTGGCTCAGTGGGTTGAGAGTCTAACTTTGGCTCAAGTCATGGTCTCACAGTTGATGAGTTCAAACCCCACATCTGGTTCTCTGCTGTTAGCACAGAGCCAGCTTCAGATCCTCTGCAGCCCCTCAGCCCCTCCCCCGCTCGCGCTTTCTCTTAAAAATAAATAAACATTAAAAAAAAAAAAGAACTGTTAGAATAAGTGAATTCAGGGGGCACCTGGGTGGCTCAGTCAGTTGAGTGTCTAACTCTTGATTTCGGTTCAGGTCATGATCCCAGGGTTGTGGAGCCTGCTTAGGATTCTCTTTCTCTTCCTCTGCCCCTCTCCCCCATTTGCACTCTTTCTAAAATAAAAAGTCTACTATTAAAAAAATCAATTCAGTAAAACTGCAGGGTATAAAATCAATACACAAAAATTTATTGTATTTCTATACACTAATAATGAACTATCAGAAAGAGAAATTAAGAAAACAACCCCATTTATAGTTACATCAAAAAGAATAAAATACCTAAGAATAAGTTAAACCAAAGAGGTGAAAGACCTGAATACTGAAAACTATAAGACATCAATGAAAGAAATTAAAGAGGACACAAATTAATAATATTTGTTATTTATAATTTGTTATATATAACATTTGGTTTAAAATCAATATTATTAAAATGCCCATATCATCAAAAGCTATCTACAAATTCAGTGCAATCCCTATCAAAATTCTGATGGCATTTTTCACAGAACTAGAACAAATAATACTAAAATTTGTATGAAACCACAGAAAACCCAAAAGCAACCTTGAGAGAGAAAAACAAAGCTAGAAGGATCATGCTCTCTGATTTTAAACTATATTACAAAACTATAGTAATTAAAAGTTTGGTATTTGTATGAAAGCAGACACATAGATCAATGGAACAAAGTAGAGAGCCCAGAAATAAACCCATGCATACATGGTCAACTGATCCACAACAAAGGAGACAAAGATATATAATGAGCAAGAGGACAATCTCTTCAATAAACAGTGTTGGGAAAACTGGACAGCCACGTGCAAAAGAATAAAGCTCAACTATCTAACACCACACACAATGATTAACTCAAAATGGATTAAAGACTTTAACAGAAGACCTAAAACCTTATGACTCCTAGAAGAAAACGTAGGTAGTAACTTCTTGGTCTTGGCAGTGATTTTTTGACTCTGACACCAAAACCAAAAGCAGGACACCTGGGTGGCTCAGTCAGTTAAGCGTCTGACTCTTGATTTTGACTCAGGTCATGATCTCACAGTCAGTGGGTTTGAGCCCTGCGTCGGGCTCTGCACTGATGGTGCAAAGCCAGCTTGGGATTCTCTCTCTCCCTCTCTCCTTCTACCCCTTCTCTACTTGCACCCTCTCTCTCTCAAACTAAATAAACTTAAAAAAAAAAAAAAGCAAAAATAAACAAGTGTGACTACATTAAACTAAAAAGCTTCTGCACTGGAAAGAAAACCATCAACAAAATGAAAAGGCAACCAAATGAACTGGAGGAAATATTTACATATCATAAATCTGATAAAAGGCTAATGCCCAAAATATATAAAATAGCTCATACAACTCAACAGCAAAAAAAAAAAAAAAAAAAATCTGATTTCAAAATAGGCAGAAAATCTAAATGGGTATTTTTACAAAGAAGATATACAAATGGCCAATAGGTATATAAAAAGATGCTTAACATCATTAATCATCAGTGAAAGGCAAAAAAAACCCTGCAATTAGCCATCACCTCACACCTGTTAGAGTGGCTATTACCAAAAAAGACAAGAAGTAAGTGTTGCCATGGATGTGGAGCAAAGGGAACCCTGTGTGCTACTGATGGCAATGTAAATTGGGTATAGCCAATATGGAGGTTCCTCAAAAAATTAATAATAGAGGGGCACCTGGATGGCTCAATCTGTTTAGCATCGAACTCTTGATTTTGGCTCAGGTCATGGTCTCATAGTTCGTGAGATCAAACCCTGTACCAGTCTCCATGCTGAAAGTGTGGAACCTACTTGGGATTCTCTCTCTCCCACTATTTCTGCCCCTTCCCCACTCTCTCCCTCAAAATAAATAAATAAACTTTAAAAAAAAATCTTTAAAAAATAAAAATTTTAAAAATTAAAAAGTTAAAAAAATTAATAGAACCATATGATCCAGCAATTCCACTTTTGTGTAATTTACCTGAAGAAAATGAAAACATTAACTTGAAAAGATCCCCCCCATGTTCACTGCATTATTCACAATAACCAAAATATGGAAACAACCTAGGTGTCCATCAATGGATGAATGGATAAAGATGTTGTGAAACTGGGTAATATATTGAAACCTACAAAAGCATAGCTCAGGACTATAAACCAGTAAAATCAGGCAAAATGGCTAGTTCTTAGCTGCTTTTTCAGAGCCACATAATATTTGAGTTCAGGAACCTCTTTTTTTAGACCTGACTGAAGGTAAGAAACCCCAATCACCACCTCACTACTTCCTCCTGACTGATGTGTGGCAGGAAATCCACTACCCAGTACCTAAATCAAACAGACCTCGTATTTGTTGC